TAGCCAAATTGCTCGCTCACAACTTTAATGCCGAAACGACAGAGAAATCACGGGAAGGATGCAAACAATGAAGAAAAACAGCCGTGATGTATAATGAAAATATATATTTAGACTGCTGTCTTGCAATGAGTAGTATTCCATCAACAAGATGTACGCATCCACACTAACGGGATTTGCATATGCTCCCGTTTCACATAACCGCTTTATCTAAGTGTGCTGCATGAATAACATTGGTTTACACATCAACAATTCTAATCCGTGAACGTTAACACAAAACATTCTTCCCTCTTCAATGAAACAAATTTTGTGTTAACGTTCATGGTCTAACCCCCTGCCCAATGCAGGAAATTCACAAATACCCCCCCCCCCACTCCCCAGTGACCGCTGTTCCACACCCAGAAGATGTCAAAAAACCTCCAGGATCCCTGGCCAAACTGGCCTGGAGAACAATTGTTTCCTGACACCCCCCCCCCATGTTTTATTTATAATTATTATTTAAATCGATGGTCAAGAGTGTATAAATGGCTGGATAACAAATTTGTCGATAGACTCTAAATAATGTCTGTTGAGAACAGTTGTTTCCTGACCCCGAAGTGGTGATCAGCATTTCCCTGGGCATGTAAAAAAGGGACACAAGAACTGAGCCCTGAGGCAACCCTTCCTGCCCTCCCTCTCATGATCTGCCTGAGTTCACACAATCTGCATTGCTGTCAGATGGGGCCACCTAGCCTCTGTTTGAAAACCTCCCAAGAAGGAGAGCCCACCACCTCCCGAGGAAGCCTGTCCCACTGAGGAACGGCTCTGTCGGGAAGTTCTTCATGATGTTTAGCTGAAAACGCTTCTGATTTAATTTCAACCCGCTGGTTCTGGTCCAACCCTCTCGGGCAACAGAAAACAACTCTGCACCATCCTCTCTAGGACAGCCCTTCAAGTACTTGAAGATGGTGATCGTATCACCTCTCAGTTACAGCAGTCCATAGTTCTCTCTTGCTGGTTTTTGGGGGTATTAACAATTTTGCTTATAGAATATGAAGACATGCGTACGTTTACATTCTATAAAAGTGCCATACAGTGCCGTTTCATATGCTGACTAGGTGATAAATGATGCATTCTGTGTTGTGAAAGGGATAAAATAAAACGTGTCCTCGTGGTCTCTGGGCATCCCACTGAGGGGACCTCAGGTGTGTTCAGAGTCCACCTTTGGAACCTTGCAGAGCTAGAAGGGTTTCGAGTGTGCCCTCTGCTCGCTCCCGCAGTGACGACGCAACGTTCCCGCCCGGAGAGGGCAGGACGGCACTCCAGCTTTGTTTCTTTGCCAAATGCTGCAGCAGGCGCCTCGTGAGGGACATTCACATCGGTATTTGTGAGCTGATGTGTATTTTGTTCTGCAACAGAGAGCCCCCCCTTTCTCTGTTGGGGGGGGTGCACTTGTGGCACGGCGGAAAACTTTCAACCGTTATTCTGTCGGGTGGGGTGGGGGGTGGCTCAGGTGCACCAGAGAGCACAATTTGCGGCTTCTGTGTTTAAGAACATAAGAGAAGCCAGTGTTGGATCAGGCCAGTGGCCCATCCAGTCCAGCGCTCTGTGTCACACAGTGGCCAAAACCCAGGTGCCATCAGGAAGTCCAGCAGCAGGGCCAGAACTCTACAAGCCCTCCCACTCTTGCCCCCACAAGCACCAAGAAGACAGAGCACCACTCCCCCAGACATAAGAACATAAGAGAAGCCAATGTTGGATCAGGCCCAGTGGCCCATCCAGTTTAGGAGAAGAACGTAAATTGGAGGCTTGTCAGCCTTGCCTTAACTTTACTAAACAAGTTAGGTGTGGTGGGCAATCCCATCTGAAGTCTTTTTCTGGGGGGGGGGGAGGCGGTCTCATCACATTGCGTGGCTTCCTCTCCGTCACCAGGACTGAGCACGCTGGTTCCACCCTCCCCCAGTAGTTGGGCTCCGGGGGGGGGGGGGGGGGGGAGACCAGGGCACAACCTCTGCTCAGCTAAAGGAATACCCCCATCCCGAACCTCCCTCCTCTGGATCCGTGGAAGCAGCCCTGCAAGCAGTCTGAAGACCATTTGCCGCCAGGTCCATTGTGGAGTCTTAAAAGGAAAAAGAAGACAAATCAAAACACTGGAGTTTGACGCCACCTCCTGAAGTCCCAGGAGCGTCCTTACAGCCGGTGTCTTTACAAGGCATGGAGGCTATTAGGCCAGTCCTAGGAATGTTCCAGAAGGACTGGGAAGTTCACCATCAGCTTCCAGGAGAGATACTGGAATCACCTGAGGTCCAGCCTGTGGAGTCGGGCATTGCCTCAGTCTCAAGGAAGGGAACAGAATGCTGTCTTGTTCTCAATACCGAGAATGTTCTTAGTCTGGAGAGTTCTCCCTGGACTCAGAAGCACACAGACATCGACTGTGTCTGGAGAGACTTATCTAGCGAGCCGAATCGCTGCTCCTTAATTTCTTGGATCTGATCCTGTTCTCCCTATGCTGAACGCCGCTTTTGGGACCAAGAATCTCATTGTTATGTAGTGGGTTGCCGCATGGATAAACGACCGACGACGACGTGGTGCATGGCACGCTTTATTTGGTACACAGCAAGAACAAGCACAAACGGCCAGCAGGCCAACTATATACATACCTGGGGACACACCCCTGGTCACCATTGGTGGGTTTGAATCTCCCGCCATGGTTCCCATTGGTTCCCCAGTGGAGGGACTAGGAGCCTAGTCCCTATTGTTCTTCCAGAGCCAAGCTCTGGCTGTTCGCTGGCCCCCAGTGGTGGTCAGCATACACTACATCCATGCACCTGGGCAATCGAGGCCGGACATACAGCCCGATTTCTTTTCCGTGGTACCATTATTGGTAATTGCTTCACCGTGGTCAGGCCTTCTGAAACGCCCCCCTCTTGAGGCCAAGTGTTACCCCCTGCCAGTTCAGCACAGCAAAAGTCACAGCAGCAGCAGCAGCCTTGGATACCCTCAGCTCTGAGGGGCTCATGCCAGTCAAAAGCTGTCATTCCTCAGGATACCATTTCTCGTCCCCACCACACTATCCGTCCCCCTCGCAGGGTTCCTACTACGGCCCCTGTTTCTGCACATTTCTCCAGGGTGAATGGACGAGTGGACCAGTTAGGCAACTTTTTAAAGTGTGGACTTGGCCTCCCTACTGGTTCCAACTTCAGCTCCCCCTTTGGGATTTGTCGTCAGTGTTATCAGCTTAAATGAAACCTCCCTTTGAACCACCACCAGCATGCAGTTTAAAGTTACTGTCCCTCGGAGTGGCATTCTTAGTAGCCCTCAGCGGGGACCCAAAGTGGCTTACGAAAAAAAACCCCAAAATACGATCACATTTCATTGTTGAGGATGAAGCCGGGGAGAGTCAGCCAATCCCTTTCCTCCCTTGGGGCACGGCCAGGCACAACAGGGTGGGGTGACGGAGCAGAGGCCTCCCCCACAGTCCCCTCAGCTTGGGCTCCCTTTCTGTGCTGCTGCTGTGATGGGTCGGTCAGCCTCTTCCTTGCACACTACCTGGAGCTCGACAACTCTGTCCATCGTACAGGTCCAAACAATTTGGAGGAGGAGGCGGCGGCGGCTGGGAAGTGCCTGGGCACCCGAGATGCCAACTGGATTAGCCCGCTGTGAGACACAGGCAAGCCGTCTGGCCAGGGTCAAGTGTAAAGAAAAGAGTTCTTGCTACAGCCCCATTTTAGGATCCTGGAGCAAGCCTTGCCTTTTGGCGTGACTTCTCCCTGATTGCCAGAGCCCTCCACTCTTGTGATATGTGGTGTGCCTCAACGCGGGCCTTGGGAGTGTGTGTTGTAAGGGCTGGCCCCAGTCGTGTTTGACAGGAGTGTCAAAGAATGACAGGTGTAGCATGGATGGGAACATATAATGATTTTTTTAAAAAAAATTCAGATTATTCATATACTTACACTTTTTTGGTTTTATGATTTTTTCCATATTAAGGTTTTATGAATTTTATGTTTTAATAAAAGCCTACTAAGTGGCAAAGCCTCTCCTTCGTAGGTTAGAGTGTCTTTCTAGCTGATGCTCGCAGACAAGAAACAACGTTCTCCCCCCCCCCCCTTTAAGTTGTTTGGATGAAATAGCGATCTATCTGTCTGGTGTTTTCAACAGGCCTTCGGTGCAGTATTGCTGGTACAGCAGAAGACAGGTTTTTCAATAGACGTATTTGCCTACAGTATAGAATTCATGGTTTTAATTGTTTTGGGTAAAAACTCTGCCGTGTCTGGGTCAACAAGGACTTTAGTTTTGTATCAGAAAACACCACCTTCTGTTTGGTGTATGAGGAATCCTTGGGTATTATTATTATTATTATTATTATTATGGGTTAGGTTAAATAAACATTTAAGATATCACGTAGGCCCGCCTTTTCTTGCAACTGACCAATGAATGAAAGACTACTCGGATGATGCTCTGTCATTTGGTGACCAATTATGATTTCTGGATGTTATCTTTTTGCCTGTGTCACTTTGGGTATAAAATTTCCATGTATTTCCTGATATTGCTCAGAAAGCAGTCGATTTTGGGTAGGCTGGCCTAACTGTTTTCAGGTGTTTTAATTGCAATTAAATAACCAATGAGGTATGGCTTGCTCGCTGGAGGCAGAAAGAGCCTGTCTGAGTGGGCAGTTGAGGCAAGAAGCGGGATGGGAGGGAGGCCTCCGTCGAGGGTGAAGGACGACTGGCAGAAGGTGGGTGGGGGGTGGGATGGGGGTGGGATGAAGTCAGGAAGGTTCCCGCCCTCCCCAGGTTGTCGCCCCCCCTTTCGTGGTGGTTTATGCATTTATTTTATTGAACGGTTTCGTGATTTCAAATGTTTTCAATTGTTCAGATGTTTTAACGTTTTTACGCTCACCGCCTCGGGGGCCCTGATTGCGTGGAAAGGTGGCACAGAAACGTTGCGAGCCCTTCAGTCAAGTACCCCTCCTCCTCTTCCTTCCTTATCTCGGGCTCTCACGGCTGTCCTCTTCCCCCCTCCAGGGCAAGGTGGCCCAGACGGCCTGCATGTCCGCCTGCAAACACTTGTCCACCTCCCTGATGCAGCTGCTCTTGGAAGCGGAGGTGCGGCAGCTCTCGCTGGGGGCCTTGCGGCAGTTCAACCTGGACGTCGAGGAATGTGAAGGTGAGGCTCCTGCTGCTCTGCGCTTTGGGCAGGGGGGGGGATAGATGATGAACAGCAGAGTGGCTTTTGTGGCCCCGATCCAGCTGCAGACGCTCCTCCGGCAATGGTGGGCTGCCTCTTTGGTGTCGTGGTTAAGTGTGCGGACTCTAATCTGGGAGAACCGGGTTTGGTTCCCCGCTCCTCCACTTGCACCTGGCTGGATGACCTTGGGTACGCCATAGTTCTGTCAGAGATGTTCTTGAAAGTTTTTGTCAGAGCTCTCTCAGCCCTGCCTACCTCATAGGGTGTGTGTTGTGGGGAGGGGAAGGGAAAGGGAAAGGAGTTTGTAAGCCGCTCTGAGACTCCTTTGGGTAGTGAAGGGCAAGGGTATAAATCCAATTTCCTCCTCCTCCTCCTCCTCCTCCTCCTCCTCCTCTTCTTCCCTAGCTCTTGACCCACACTGTCCTGAGAGGGAACAGCGAGGCTGGAGTCCAGTTATACCTTAAAGACCCGAGAAGTTTTCCGGGTGTGAGCGGTTGAGAGTCAGCACTCCCTTCATCAAAGACCCGTTGCGGGAGCACTGGCTCTCGAAAACTCACGTCCCCGAAGACTTTGTTGGCCTCAACGTGGTTGCAGCGCTCGAATCTCACTGCTTTTCTGCAGACCACTACCGCTGCCCTCTCAGACTTCCGACCGAGAGAGCTGTGGCTCTCAGAATCTTGCAGCCCGGAAAGTCTTGTTGGTCTCTAGGGGGCTACGGGACTCGAACCCAGCTCTTCTCCTGCAGACCGACATGGCTCCCCTCTGAAACGGTCCTGAAAGGGCTTTCTTGACTGGTCCTCCGCCGGCCATCCTGGCGGGCCGGCCTGCATGCTCACCAGCACTCTCGCTCACGGTGGCAGTCAATGCCCGCTGACCTCAACCGGAACGTCTTTCTGTTGGGGGTTGCCACGGGGTGTTCCCTGTAGGCTCTCAGTGGCTGACAACAAAAGGAAAACGTCCCATTCCATTTTGAGGGTGGTTTGATTTGTTAGTCAGCCAACTAAACTGGTAGATCCCCAACAGAGCCATTGATGACCCTGGGGAAAAGGAATAAGAGCACCTCGCCTATACCGACTGCCTTGATCCCTGCAAGGTCTTCCTGCCGTTTGGAGCAGTGTTCCCTCTAAGCTGAGTTAGTGTGAGCCAGCTCACAGTTTTCTTAGCCTCCGGCTCACAGATTTTTGTCTCAGCTCAGGAAGGATGGGGCTCCAGAGCAAACTCATTTATGCAGCAGCCAAATCGCTCGCTCACAACTTTCATGCCAGTAGCTCACCAAGTAGAATTTTTGCTCATCAGCTGAGAGGGAGCATTGGTTTGGAGTGCTGGAGAATATTCCCAAAAGAGGGTGGGTGCTGGTGGGTGTCTTGGGGCTCCTCTTGAGTACATGATGCTGCCTTCTACTGAATCAGACCCCCCTGGGTCCATCAAGGCCCGTATTGCCTGTTCAGACTGGCAGCAGCTCTCCAGGGTCTCAGGGGGAGGTCTTCCACATCCCCTGCCGCCTGATCCTTTTAACAGGAGATGCTGGGAATTGAACCTGGGACTTGCTGCATGCAAAGGTGGGCTGCTGGCATTAAAGTTGTGAGCGAGCCATTTGGCCGCTGCATAAACTAGTTTGCTCTGGAGCCCTCCTTCCTGAGCCAAGACAGGAATGTGTGAGCTGGAGGCTAAAAGACTGTGAGCTAGCTCACACTCACTCAGCTCAGAGGGAACAGTGGCCTGGAGATCTCCTAGAATCGCAGCTGGTCGCCAGACTTACAAAGATCAGTTCCCCTGGAGGAAACGGCTGTTTTCGGAGGTGGGACTCCGTGGCATCGTAGCCTGCCAAGGTTCCTCCCCTCCTCGGCCTCTACCCCCAAATCTCCAGCGATTTCCCAACCCTCCTTGGAAGGGATTTGCCCTGGGGCTTCCCTGCAGACCCATTTGGGCACTGTGCAGCGTACAGTGTCTGACAGAAGCTTTCCTCCAACAAGAATAATTGGGATTCCAGTCAGACCGGAGCTGCCCTCTACAAGATCGAGGGCGGGGCAGAGGGGGAAGCTGGGATCCTGGTGGCAGCAGGTGCCGTGAACTTGAGCCCTCTGGCCTCCCACAGCCGGGGAAATGGAGATGGATGCCATTGCGGATGCTGGTCTCACCTTCCCACCCATCACTGTCGGCCTCCCTAAGAAGGGTGGGGGCAAGGAGAGGTCTTTGTCTGGTGGTTTTACTGATAGCGTGACTAATGCGTCCCCTCTCCAAAGAGAAGCTTATAGTTCTGCTGCAGGTTTTAAAAACGAGACATTGCAGAGAGGGTGGGGCTGCTTCGGTAGCTCTGTCCACAAGTCACAGGGAACAGACATACGGTCCATATGCAGCGTTCCCTTGGTTTTTCTTTATAGGCGAGTTAAGTAATTCTTGTGTTGTGTTCAGTGCATGTACGTTTGATCATAAACCTCACATTTATTGAGGTGCTGGTCTCTGGTTCCACTTGTAAAGTGAACACATGCTGGGACCTTCTTACAAACAGATGCACACAGGTCCATGCTGGATGGGGGCATGCCTTCACTGCGGGTGCGGTCAGACGGCGTGCTGGAAGCAGTTTAAATTGCTCCTGCCCTGATGCGGGTTTTTTTAACCTGGAGAATTGCGATCACACTCACCTCCTTGCTCCGGATCACTGCGCAGCCACATCGCTCCCTGCCGTCCACACGCGGGAGCGTGTGTCAGTGTTGGTTTTTCTCTCTCTCTCTGTTTGGGCATGTGCACAGACAGCCATCTGTAGAACTAAAATTTTCACACGTGCGCAGAACAGTGATTTCCTCTTCAACTCGACTGCTGTAACACTTCCCTTTAAACTTTAAAGGAAAACTTCCCTTTAAACGTTTACCTCGAAAATGGCCTCCATGAGATCCCGAACTCATCTAAACACTAAAACTAGGCACCGTTTAAACATTGTTTTTAATAATGTGGTGGCGGACCTCCGCCTATGCGCACACCGCCAACGCTTTTAAAAAAATGGTGGGCGAAAAGCAGGAGCCTCGGGCAGCTTTCGAGCGGGGAGGGGGTTAAAACCGGAAGTGGCTCGACACCGGAGGCGCGATCACACAGGGGGAAAATGCGGCTGGAACCGGAGAATAAAGAAAACACCACTTGGGGACCTGGTATCAAAATGCTCCAGGTTAAAGCGGTTTTGAGCCGAAAAGCGATGGCTGGGGACGGGAGGCAGATGTTGACCGTGTGATCGCGCAGATAAAATCCGTTTCTGAGGCGGGCCGAAAGCGGACTAAACAGCCCATCTGAACGCACCCTATGAGACATCAGCCAGACTCTTGTGTCCAGGGATGTGCCTGTCTTGTTGGAGCTGCCCAGTTGCTACCAGACGCCCTTTCCACAGTCCTTTTAAAGAGTGAAATCATATATTAGGACAGTTATTCCTGTTGCGTGATCCCTAGCCACTTCCCCATGGGCATTTATGTTCAATGGTTGTGTTCAGTGTTCCCTCTAAGCTGAGTTAGTGTGAGCTAGCTCACAGCTTTTTTAGCCTCCGGCTCACAGATTTTTGTCTTCGCTCAGGAAGGAGGGCTCCAGGGCAAACGGATTTATGGAGCAGCCAAATCGCTCGCTCACAACTTTAATGCCAGGAGCTCACCAAGTAGAATTCTTGCTTACAGGACTCCACAGCTTGGAGGGAGCCTTGGTTGTGTTCCGTGTGTCAGTCCTTAGTGGGCACGGAATCCACCCCGGGCTCAGCTGTTTCTTTCCCACCGTGCTCCCCTGCCGATCTGCACCAGGCCTCGGCGCCCACCAGTCTCCCTGATACACCCACCTGCCTCTCTTGCTTGTCAGGATGGGTGCATCCTGAAAGGGGCCTTCTCCTCCCCATTTGGGCTCCGGGCCCCACAGCACTTTGTGGGGAGGGACGTGAGCGTGAGACTGGCTGTGCTCAGTTTGCCCAGGTGTGGCTTGTCTGGGGTGGTGGCGTCTCTTCCTTGATGCCTCTGGATTTGAGTGGTAATCTTTGTCTGAACGCAGCCATCGCACTAATGGGCTTGCAGGGCCTGCTGGGCCTGTCCCAGGTAGCGGCTCACAGCATCTCCATCAATGACCCCTTTCTTTCACTTCCCCTTCCACACAGATTTGCTTAAAAGCCCTTTGTTTCTCTTCCCAGCGCGATTACCTGGTAGCTGCTGTGTGAAGCGCAGAGAGGTGATTGGCTTGCAGAGCCCTTAGCAGGGATTTGGGGAGATGCGCGCAGAGTCCACATGTCACTTTGGAAGGTCAGAGGAGGAGATCACGCCACTTGCATCTGCCGGGCTCACTGGGGTTTGGGGAGGGGCTGTGGCTGACTGGAAGAGCACCTTCCTCGGCACGCAGAAGGTCCCAGTTTCAGTCCCCGGCAGCATCCCCAGTTGAAAGGCCCAGGTAACGGGTGCTGTGAAAGACCTCAGCCTGAGACCCTGGAGACCAGTAGCCAAGCAGACAAGGCTGACCCTGATGGACCAGGTGCTCAGTTCAGTACGAGGCAGCTTCGTGTGTGGGGAGTCTCCCACCTCTATTCACAAAGGGGCTGTGGCTGGGTGGTACAGCCTCTGTCGTGTGGCATGTGGAGGGGCCCCTGTTCAATCCCTGGCAGCACCCCTGCTTGAAAGGATCTGGCAGTCAGCAATGTGAAGGGCCCTTAGGGAGGGACTCGCTGCTCCTGCCCGTACATCTAGGGCAGGGGTGTCAAACATGCGGGCCGGGGGCCGGGTCAGGCCCCCAGAGGGTTTCTCTCATGGCCGCAGTGGAACTGGCTGCCTTCTGCTTCTTCAGTTCTGCTGCTGCTGCGTCATTGTAGGTTTGCAGCTTACAGGTACACACCTGAACAGCACACTCAAGACTGCAGCAGCACAGACATTTTGATGCAATCATTCAGAGCAAGAGGTGTCAGTGAGCAGACAAAACAAAATATTGCAAGTGCGCTGATGTTTTGAGCATGTTTTTATTTTAAGTTAAAAAAAAAAACACCCTTTGTGTTTGTGTCCTTTATAAAGTTTATCTCTCCGCTGCCTGGCATTACATTTTATGACACACGTGGCCCGGCCCAACAAGGTCTCATTCATGTCAGATCTGGCCCTCGTACCAAATGAGTTCGACACCCCTGGTCTAGGGAGACGTCCCTTGCCAGACTGAGAAGCTGAGCGGGAAGCCTGGCAAGCCATCGGCTGCCCCCTCTCCTAGGAGAGTCCGGCTCTCTGGCTTGTGGGGTGATAGGAAAGGGCTGGCTGGTCCGGTGCATGGCGGTGTTCTCTCCAGAAGGCTGGAGCCGAGGGAGATCTTGAAGGTTCAACTCCGGCAGTCGTGCAGAGGGACGTGGGGGCAGAGGGGCTCATGTGTGGGTCTCTCTCTCTCTCTCCCTCTCTCCCTCTCTGCATGAGTCCTGCTGTTCCTTTTCAGCCCCTGAAAAGGAGAGCCTTCATCAGCCCATGCGGGTCTTTCTCCCCCCCCTTCCTCGACCTCTTTATTTCTTCCTGGCTCCTTCACCCTGTGTTTAGGAAACGGTTTTGGGAAAAGAGGTTAGAGTCCTGCCGTAACCCGCCCTGGGTGGGTGGCCCCAGCCTGTAGGCCTCGCAGAGACATTACTTCTTTGGCCTGAACACAAGTCCTCCAACCCTCGAGCCTGCCCCGGGGCCTTTGTGCCGAGACCAGCTCCATTCTCTAGCGATTTTCTGCTCAAGGGGGCCGTGCCGTAGGTGGCTTGTTCTGTCTCACATTGGTTGCGGCCGGGCCGGGCCGTTTCCCGGGCAGCGCTACGTTGGGCCTCTCTGTGCTAATTGCCCTGACACCTGGCTGAAGCGCCGAACAGAAGAACTGGCTGTGCCCTCCTCGGCTGGGGGGGTGGCTTGGATTCAACCGCAGGCTTCGCCTCGGCCAGTAAATGGCAGCAGATTGTAAGCTGGCGCTCAAAATACGACCTCTGGCTGCCGAGAGGTGCACCCATCGTGTTCCAGAAAAGTGGCCCCTTAAGCACGCACTGTCTTGAGGCGTGACGCGCCATGTGCCGAGCAGGGGGTTCACTTTGATTCCTGCCTCCAGCAGTTCATGGCTGCAGCGGGAAGGCCCAACTGTAGGAGGAAGGATCGTCTGGGATTGGCCAATGCTTGAGCGATCTTGTCCGAGAGAGACGGGGGGGGGGAGGCCAGGTGAGAAATGAGCCAGCACCTGCAGCCATAGAGGAAGCCAAGACGCGTGGTCCAGGTGGCCGCCCGGGTGCAGGGGCGAGGGGGAATGAGGAGCATGATGGCACAGCTCTGCGTCTGCAAGGCTTGAGAGGCAAGCAGACTCGGGATCGAGTGCAGGCCTGGCAGGAACCGGCTGCCGGCCTCAGTGGCGGAGCCAAGCAGAGTAGCAGGGTGGACGTGTGTCCTGCTGGCCCCTGCCAGCTAAGGTGCCCAGCAAAGGCCAGGTTCCCCCCATACTTGTGAAGATCAGGGGTGGATGAAGGCTCACTGGTGCCCGAAGCACCGACCCAGTCTTGGTGCCCCCCCTCCTTTCCACACTGACCCCCAGTCCATCTTAGTTGCTGAGGGGCCACGACCATCCGAGGGAAAACCATAGAGTTTTCCCTCGGATGACTGTGGTCCCGCCCCCAGCATGCCCGGCGTGGTCGCGTCACTTTCGGGGTGACGCGCATGTCGTGGTGGGGTTCCCCCCGGGGGGATTGGGGAAGCCTAGTCTGACCAGATAGACAATGCAGGTTGCAGTAATGCAAAAATTTATTCATAGGATAACACAAAAATTTATTCATAGGATAACACAAAAATTTATTCATAGGATAACTGTACAAACTAAGCCAAGCTTGGGCTACATAAAGTTCTAAAAAAAATGCAGTACAACATCTACTGTAATATTTCACAAGCTAAATGTGTCCAAGTTCCAATATTCATGACCTGAAAAGCATTTCTCTACATTTCATTTACGCAAAATCACTGAGAACGTCCTCGAAATTAATACCTCTCAGAAGGTCTGCTTCAATGGTTAACATACACAGTGAGTTGAGTCTTTCCTGAAGCATAACTGATCTATTTGGGGTTTTTTTTTACACGTTTCAGTTGTGAGAAAGACCTCTCTGTTGTGCAGGTGGTGACCATTAATGTTAAAAATATTCTTAAGACAATTTCAGCATTTGGAAAGGCACTCTCTAGTTTGTCTTAAAAGGGGGCAGAGAGGATCAATTGAAATGACTGTCATGACAACTGAATTTGGCTCCGTCGTTTTACTTTTAAACACAGCCTATGACACTGCACCTCGCCAATAAAAAATAGAAGATCACCCTAGGGTGCACCATGATCAGTGTGCACTAGTTTTATCAAAAAATATTTTTACAAATCTTCATTCTTTTCTTTTCTTTTCACCCTTTGCCCAACTTTGTGGTGCCCCCTTTGGCCCTGGTGCCCTAAGCACGTGCTTAGTCCGTTTCATGGTTAATCCGCCACTGGTGAAGAGCTGATGTTGAGAACCAGAGGCCGTGGTGGCCGGAAAGAGAGCCCATGCAGGACACCGGCGTGGCTGAATTCTGAGTTGTGTTTCGGAGGGTGGCCGTGCCGGTCTGCAGTAGAGGAGCTGTTTTCAAGTCCAGGAGCACCTCGGGGACCCAAAAGATTTTCGGGGCGTCAGCTTTCGGGAGTGAAACCTTCCTTTGTCGGATACCAGATCTGACAAGAGGAGCTTTGACTCTGGGGAGCTCCTACCCCCCCCCAAAAAAAATCTTGTGGCTCTCTAAACTGCTGCCGGACTTGAGTCTCGCTCTTCCAAACGGTGTGTATCCAGCGCATGTATCTGGTACGTTCTTCGGCAGACGTGCAAGGATCACGGCAGCAAATTCCTTCAGTCCCCCAAAACGTAAATGGCTTTCAAAACTGAAAAGGGTTTCCCAGCTGAAGATGTGATTGTGTAGAGAGGGAACGTTTGTCCGTCGCCCCCCCTCCCTCCAGTCCCCCCCCCCCAAATGCCTTTTTTCTTTGTAGATTGTTTGTCCATTCACAAAACAAATACTCCAGAGCCCAGTGAGGCTCATGGGAATAAAGTTCAGGTCGAATTAGTAGAGTCCCCCTGCTGTCAGGATGGTGGGATTAATGGCGTTTTGATGACACGAATTTTGAAGGCCGAACAAAAAGCTTGACGGGAGGGGGACCTGACTCCTTAGAAGCCCGGTCCTCCTCTCCCTCGGCCCCTGTTGTCTCCGCTGTCATCCGTCTGCCAATCTCCCTGTCCATGGTGAGTTAAAAGCCCTTTTTATCCTCTCCTCTTTCCCACAGAGTTTGCCAGATCCGGCCCAGTGCCTGGGTTCCAAGGGGACACGCTGCAGTTGGCCTTCATCGACTTGAGACAAGTACGTCTTTGTGTTCTTGTTTTTTGTTTTTCTTTTAAGATGTGTGACTGAAGACCATCAGGTCTTAAGGAGCGGGGAGAGGAGGCGGGGCTGGTTTGGCGGGCCAGGCCGGAGACCTCTCTTCCTCTTCACCATCACACACACACACACCCGCTGCTCTGCCCAGCTCCTTTACTTTTTGCACCCACTTTTTTGTGTCGCTCTCTGGGCCCCTTGGGCTCCTGGAAGTCTAAGGATGGTTGGTGGCCTCAAGGCAGGATACTAGAGATGACCCCAGGCCTCGGAGTGGTGGACTCCTAATTGGCCCCTACCAAACCCCCAGAAAGCTCCTTCCGGCCTGATTCACACAACTGCTGAGCAGGTGTCCCTAGCAGAAGAGGTACTGAAGCAGAGAGGAGGGCACACGCCAGCATGACTTTTTGTTGGTGTATAATGCCCATTGAAGGGATTTGCATTCTGTGCTGTGTAAGGAAGTTGCACGAGTGTGTGTTTGTGTAGTTGTGTCTGGCGAGGGCGAGCATTCTTTCTCCCAGACTGCTTCCAGTCCCCAGCTGATAAAACTTCCATTCATGACGGTGGTTGCAAAAGGCTCCACCCACTGATGGAAACTCATCGGATGGTGTCATGACTCAGGTGGGGTGTCACCTGATGCTGCCACCACTCTGGATTTAGGATCCCTTGAGAAGGCCCAGAGCACCCTCCCAAGACCTTCAGACCTCCCTTATTTGGACGAATAATAGGCATGAGAACCAGGCAGAATGAAACAAGGAAAAGGTTTATTTTATAGGAGGTCAAACAACAAGGTGCAGAATAATAACAGTAAGTGGGTGAAAAGAAAAGGAATCAAATGCCCTAACGCGTCTAAATAGATACTGTCGCTACCTCACTATTCCAAGTGGCACCAGACTACTCACCCTTCCCTCAGGATGAGGGTTTCTTCCCGCAGCAGCCTTCCTTCTGGCTCTGCCCTCTGGAAGGAAGAACAGCTTCTGCTCTGGCATCAGCCCTTTTGTTCCCCAGCCCTCTTCTTCCCTATTGGTCCATTTTGGCTCCATAACCTCCCAGGGGCTTCTGGGAGTTGTAGGCCCAGCCTCACCTACTGCTAGCCAGGCTCCCTGGGCCTAGTAGGCCTCTGCTGGCACAGCCCAGATCATGACAGATGGTCTAGTTGATTGTGGTGGAGGGAGCAGAGTGTCTCCGGGGCTTGGTGGGCTCTCTGAGGGAGGGAGGGAGGGAGGAGGCTGTTTGTTATGGGGAGAACTTGGGACTGGGGATGATGATAGCCAGCCTGGGTGGGGTGGGGTGTGTGTGTCTTATTTCTGTCATCTCGTGACGGTGAAGATGTATAAGGTTGGACGGAAGGTCTGAGTGAAGCGCTGCAACGGTTGTTGGCCCATCGAGAGCCCCCTGCTTTATCTCAGCTGCTATGACGATGCAGCGCTGATCTGTTTCTAAGGCTGAGGTGGGCCGACATTCTTTTTAAAAAATTAATATTTTATTAACTTTTACAGCAAAAATTAAGTTAACAATCACAGTAAAATATAGCTTGTAGGAAACTGGACAATGTAACCATAACAAGCATCTAAGACACTTATGTACAGTATACTTATTTAAAAGACTCTTTTAGAGTTACAAGTAAAAAACAAATCAGTTGCCGTAAATGAAGGACATCTATTACATCTGGCATTTCTTTTTGAGAAACAAGATATGATAAAATTGGGAACCATATAATAGTATCTGCTGGTTTCACTCCATAATTTGTTATGCCAAAAAATGTAGTGTCGGTCTATGCTCCAGTTTCCACTTTGATGCAATAGCTGTTTTTGCTACAAATAATAGTAATAGTGCCGTCCTTTTTTGTGTGTGCTGGATAAATTTTTCACATTTCTTAGATTCAAAAGAAGTGATTCTGGACTCCTATTAATTATTTGTCCGGTAATTACTGTATTTTTCGGACCATAAGACGCACCTGACCATAAGACGCACCTAGTTTTTAGAGGAGGAAAACAGGGGAAAAAATATTCTGAACCCTGGGGCTCAGTATTCGGTCCATAAGACGCACACACTTTTCCCCTCACTTTTTTTGGAAGAAAAAGTGAGTCTTATGGTCCAAAAAATACGGTAGTTTTATTTGTTCTACTGTTTCTTCCCAAAATACTTTAATTTGGGGGGCAGCCCATCCAGCAGTGCAAATAAGTCCCAGTCTCCTTGCACTTTTCCCAACAGTGGGGATGAGAATTATGTGAAATATACGATACTTGCGAGGGGGTTAGATACCAGTGTGTCATAATTTTGAAAATTTGCCATCTACGTGATAATATAGACGCGTTATTTTCATAGCTGTTCCGTATTTTGGACCATATATCTTTAGTAAGCTCTGTTGCGCATATGAGGTGGGCCTGCGTTCTGAGTGGCACTCTCTGGATCATCGTGGGGTGCTTCTGAAACCTGCCCCAACTCCCTTGTCGGGGTCTGCTACACTCTCCTGCTCCCCTGTCCTGTTTGGTGTCAAAGCAGCTTCCGGTCACTCCCAATCCTAACCCAGCTAATAAACCCATAAACAGCACCCAGGTGCTTTCTCAGCAACACACCCATCCCTTCCCACTTTCCAGAAGCAGCACTGAGTTGATTTCAGTGATGGCAGAGGCTGCAAGCGGTCAGTAAGGCAATCTTGACAAATAATTGTGCTGGACTGTTTGTTTGCTTGCTTGCTTGCTTGTTTGTTTATTTAGTGTCCCGCCCGAAGGGCTCAGCATTTCAAAAGCACTCTGCTGGCTGCCGTCTTGACAAATAATTGTGCTGGACTGTTTGCTTCCTTGCTTGTTTGTTTATTTAGTGTCCCACCGGAAGGGCTCAGCATTTCAAAAGCACTCCGCTGGCTGCCGAGAACATACCGAATTCGCTTCAAGGTGCTGGTTCTTGCCATTAAAGCTACCTCTGGGTAGTGAAGGGCGGGGTACAAATCCAATCTCCTCCTCCTCCTCCCTTTATGGTCCCGTTCTGGCATACCTAAGGCCCCGCCTTTCCCCACATGTTCCCCAGAGAGCACTGAGGCCAGGGTCCTAAAATTGATTGGCCCTCCTGAGCCCCAAAGACGCCAGGCTGGCTATAACCAGGGCCAGGTCCTTTTCGGTGGCGGCTCCGTACTGGTGGAATGAGCTTCCAGAAGAGATCAGGGCCCTGCCGGACCTTCTACAGTTCCACAGGACAGTTCCACAGGGCCTGCAAGATGGAACTCTTCCACCAGTCCGTCAGTCAAGGAGCTGCATCAAACACCTGAAAAGTGAGCCCTGCCCCTTGCTTTTACCACCTACAGCCTGTGCTCACTGCATAAATAAATCGATCAAGGTGAGGTGGCCTGAACATACCATCATGACTGTTATTGACACCATAAGTAATACTATTTGTATTAGACCTACTGTTCTAGCACTTTATGATAGTGATGATAATTGGGTTGTTTTATGATTGTTTTATGACTGGTTCTAATTGTTTATTTATGTGCTGAATTTTTATATAAGCTGCCCTGAGCCTGCTTCGGCCGGGAGGGTGGGGTATAAATTGAATTAAATAAATAAATACATACATACAATAAGAGACTTAAAACAAAGTATGGCTGCGGTCACACGGAGCATTAGGCACGCTAGAGGGACGGAAGATAGGCAGATTTGCCAGGCGCAATCTCAGGTGTTTTTTTTTTCCAACTGTCCATGGGATGCACACAAGCACCCAACAGGGCATGCACACACTTTGGTGTCCGGAAAACAAAACACCCGCTTGCCGCGCCGCCTCTTTGCCACGGCGCAGGATTGTGGTGTGCTCAGCGCCTCCCCCCTACCACAGGACCTCCACGGTACGTCTGCTGGCACAACCGTGCGTTATTTTGCCCCGGGGCAAACAGCCATGCTTTCCCCCCGCATTTTCCTGCCCATGTGACCCAGGCTTATATGTATTAAAATGGTGGCCACAGCCCAAGGAGAGAATTAGCTGGTTGTGAAAGATTCCCTGGCCTGTTGGTAACAGGCAGGGGTCATTTCATAGAAAAAGAGGTGCAGGAGCTCATTAGCATAACTCATTAGCATGACTTATTTGCATATGCCACACCCCCTGACATCCCCGGAAGTGTGTCAGAAGGCAACACCCACCGCTCAGGCTCCACTGGGCTGTTTTGGATTGCTAGCTATTGGGGGGGGGGAACATGCAGATCTGCCCTCGCAGAGGAGGGAGAGCTTGTACCTGAATAAAACTTGGTCTTAAAGGTGCCACTGGACTGTTTTGGACCTGTTGGCTCTGCAACTTACCTGGCTGCTTCTTGCTCTGACTGAGGGCTGCTGGGAGCAAGGGGTGGAGCTTGTTGCATGTGCCTGCCCCCTGGGCTCTTTACTGCCGGAGCTCCGCTCCTGTGCGCTCCTGCAGGAAATGACCCCTGGTAACAGGTGAATAATCGTCAGCTGCTAATAGATGGGTGACAAGAACCTCAGGGAGGCCATGCATGGACGCCCACCGCCTCAGCCAAAGGCCTGGTGGCAGAGCGCCATCTTACAGGCCCTGCAGAATTGAAGAAGAAGATCCCACAGGGCCCTGATCTCAACAGGGAGCGTGTTCCACCCGGCAGGGGCCAGAGCAGAAAAAGACCTGGCCCTGGTCGAGGCAAGATGGACATCTTTCAGGCCAGGGAACACCAGGAGGTGCCAGTCCATAGAGCGTAAAGCTCTTCTCTGCTTATATCGGCTGCTTTAACAGAGGAAGGAGCTGCGGTGGCTCAAGGGGTGAAGACGCTGAACTGCAGGCTGTGGAAGGTCAGTCGTTCAGCAGTTCGAGACCCGGGTGCTGCAAGACGGAGTGAGCTCCCGTCTCTAGTTCCAGCTCCTGCCAACCTAGCAGTTCGGAAGCAAGAAATTGCAAGTAGATAAATAGGGACCACTTCAGTGGGAAGGTGACAGCGTTCCGTGCGCCTTGGTGTTTAGTCATGCTGGCCACATGACCACGGAAACGTCTTCGGA